CTCGTGACTCTCGGGACTATAGTGACTCAGATGACTACAGAGTGACTGGCGACTCAATAATACTACCGAATGACTAGCGCCTCACTTGACTACCAGGTGACCAGCGACTCACGTGTCTACTGAATTACTAGCGAACTAGTGACTGACATGACAAAATAAGACAACAGCTTATTGGTTTTAGACGGGACACAAAAAGTTCTCACCTAGGTAAAAGTCCTGTGTTTTTTTGACCCATCCACATCCGCTCCCACCAGCTCTATAATTCCTCATGCTTTACATTATGTCAATTGCCCTGAGCGTCTAATAATGACGCAGGTGAGTTTAAACTAGAAAGCCTGGTGCGGTGCATACAGACGCTAAAGGGTGCCTCCGTGCGTCTGTATCAGACGACCGCGGGGCACTGATCGAGTGTCGATATTTGACGAGATATGTGTCTGAAAAATGAGTGAGAAAGTTTGCATTTCAGTGCATTGTGCTATGCCACTTGAGTAGTCTGCTATATTACCAAGAACATAGAGTAGAGGTCCCTTGATTAGTTGTCCCATCAATAGCCATGCAATTGTGTGAAATGTACCTTTTATATGTGTTCAATTTCCTCATAGAAAAAGTGCCTCTCCTGGGTGGCTGGTTTGAGAAAAGTCCAGAGTCAGCTGAGGTTCAGGAGGCGATTCAATATGCTGTGAAGATGCACAACACTCACTCCAAGAGCAAGAGGATGTTCAAGCTCGTCTCCATCACCGGCGCTCAGGCACAGGTCAGATTCATTTTTCAGACACAAAGGAACTTCCATGCAACACACCATGTCACCACCATCTAATAGTTCTGCTCCCGGTCCACTTATGTCATTAGGTGACCAACATGATCAACTTTAAAATTGATGCAGTCCTGGGAAAAACCAAGTGTCTTAAGGGAGAAAACCATGACCTGAACAGCTGCAGTCTTGTGAAAAAGGTACATTTTGTTTCACGTGTGCGATTGTATGTGTTCACAAAGTTATGTTCAACTCAGCAATGATTATTTTCTCAACAATGACATTCATGCTTTTATGTCTTATATAATTTCCTAATACGAAGACAGATTATTACGTGTTGTCTTTTACCGTCAGGTTTTGGAGAGTTCCCAATTCCTATGAAATGGTTATTGTTGTTTCCCTCTCCGCAGCATCTGAAGTGCCACTTTGTGGTGACGTTCAACCCCCGCAGCAACAAACATGAGCTGCAGAAATCCAAGTGCATGAAAATTGTGGAGAAGGTTTAACTTTTGAATTGGCTTAACTTTTTTTGTAGTTTGGCTCTATAGCTTTGATTACCTTATTGCATTTTGATGGGTTCAAAATATTTTGCAGCTGGTTTTCAGTGCTGAATGTGTGGTTGTCTCCATGGACAACTTGTAACAATAACACATCACGGTCTTAATAAAATATATTTGGAAAACTTTTTTACCATGATGTGGAGATTCTTTGTAGATTGCGGCTCGATAAATAATGTCTTTTTATTTGTGGTTTTGTACTCTGTCAAAGAAAACACTTGATGATTAAAATGATTGCTTGCTTTGGGCATATAAATTGATTGATTGACGTTGTAGGTAAGAGGTAAAGAACATTTGAGTTTGAATTTATTTATTGCTGTGGTTTTTACATACATGAATCAATAATGTGAATACACACATTGCCACTCGTAAATGAAGTTTTGTGGATATCTTGTGGAACCATCATCAAATCATATACGCATCTGTTCCCATAATTCAAGCCTTTAATTCTTCCATAATCACTCAAAAGTCACAATAAAAAATACAAATACATACTGTATGTGCTGAAATTAACAATGCATTGTAACATATTTTGTTGCATTGAAAGTCCCTGGTATTTGTTAAAATCACTAAAGTGGGTCCACGGGCTTATGAAGCCTTAAATTTAGGAATTTTGCCTCTTAAAATAGGTGAGAATGAGTTGAGGTCATTGTTTTCATTGTGCTCACGACTCTGGAAGCTTGGAGCAATCTATAACTCATCAAGGTGCTATAACTCATTACTAATTTCTTTTTTACTCACTTTTAAAATTCAAGTTAAATAATAAGAAGAGAAATGATGTATTTATGGTGTCATGGTTGAGCTCCAAGGGGAAACTCCCTGAACTGTTTCAAGTGGCAGCCAGACGAGGCTTGCAGACGTAAGATACAAAAATCCATATGTGAAATGTATGTATGTATGAATGTACATGTATATACTTATACATATATGTATGACTGACTTCTTAATCAAAAATAACTCATGCTGTATTAGATCTAGAAGGAACAAGCCGCTCCTCTTTACTGAAGGACCCTACTAAAGAATCCCCGACAAGTCATTTGTCTGACGTGTTGACACAGTGACAAAAGACCTTATCTGTCCACTGTGGACACACAAAGATAAATTCTACAACGTACTCATCTACATCCAAAGGTTTCACATTTCTTAGAATGGAAACTTGAGCTTTTCACAGTTTTGCTGAACTAAGCGTAAGTTTGAAAAACTCTCTCCAAATGATAATTCACATGAGAACATTAATTGCACAAAATGCACATCTTAACAAGTTAATTAGTCTCACTGAGCAAGAGAAGATTATTTTTCATAATAAATTTCATGTCAGAAAAACAATCTCCTTCGTCAAAGCCTTGTTGACAAAGAGAAATGTCATGCTGTTATCTAGTATTTCAGTAAAAGTGAAAATGAATGGACCAGCGTAGAGACCAAACCGTCTTTGGAGACGGGGCTCGCCCAACCAACATCTGTGGATCTCCTCCACAACAACCACACAGTGAAGCCCTGCCCTGCCACACGCTCTCCATTTCTCAAAAGGGAACCATAGTTGGGGCTCCTTGGCGAACATCGCATGGAAACTCTATCCTTTTAATAGAACAACCAGTTACCATTTATTCTCGTTGGGCCATTCGTCATGTCAGAGGAAAATTAGACTCAGTGCTGGGTAATAGCAGGCTGTCTGGTGGGCTGGCAAGGGTTTAGAAAGTCTTTGCCACTAAACAGCCCAGACACCACTGCTCTCTCAACACCAAACCATTATTTAACTATTAGAATGAAATGTTTTCCACTTGTAAGCAGTTTCCTGTTTCACACACACACACACACACACACACACACATACACACACACACACACACACACGCACACACACACAACTCTTGCCTGTATGGTTGCTCCATTTGGTCAAGTGGAAATAGTCTAGATGTCTTGTGAATCCTTCAGCCTGATGTATTTGGTATCAACGGTTGGCTGCGGAGTGAGTTAGGAGATCTCTGGCCCCTCAGTGAGGCTCTGGTAGGATACGTATGTTTGGACTCCATGGCTATCTCAGGGACAAACCAGGTATAGGGTAAAATGAGCTCGGCATGTTGGCCTTCATCATCCTGGTTTTCGGGCCTTCGCCGTCTTGGTTTTATACAGACGCCATCTTGGTTTTATGCAACCAAAAGAATGTGTAATTAAGTACAGCCGAATAAGCTGAATAAGACCTTTTGTATGCGACCAAAACTGTTACAATGCACTGATTCCAAGTCTTGGCACCACAGAACCGAAAGGAATGAGTACACATGTTGGCAGTCATTGTTTCAAACTGTATATCAATTCACACATTTATGTACATCTATATAGATTAATTTGCTGGTTATAACTAACTTCTGAAATATCAATACACCAAAGACAGAAAGCAGAACACGAGGTCATGCTGGTCCCATAACTTTTATTTATCAAAACACACACCACTGATTTACAGGTATTTACAACAGCATCTAACATGAATATCTTCTACTTAATTTAGAGATTTTTAAAAAAATGAAGGAAAAGAAAAGTGATGAATAAAAATGACGTAAGTGACCCAGTTTGTAAGACTTGAAACAGAGTCGTGTATCTTGTCAGTGTGTCAGGTAGGTGCGGTTTTCCAAAACCGTCACCTTTGTGTTTCACACCCAAACCTTCTCTAAACTTGTTTACAAAGTTAAAGATGTCGGACGTTGGACAGCTACTCTTTGGTCCTTAAAGTGGTGTTGATGAATGATGGGTTTAGTGTCTGTGATTCAGATCGGCAGTCTTCAGACACTGGTCTCAATGTGAGGGGACATCTTACAGGTCAGCGTGTGGGTTAGGAGTCTATGCTGCTGGTGGTACCTGACGCACATGCACACACACACACACACACACACAGACACAAAACATACATGTATACAAACACCATGAGTGAGCTGCAAATCGATGAAAGGTAATTTACTGTAAGATAATGGCGCCATCGCCTGCCATAGAAGTGTTACTACAAGGATTTTGTCTTCTAACGCTTTCAAATGAATATCATCTATGTGCATCTATGACATGCAAATGGAGTAGTGTAGAGAAGTGAGTGATTTGATGTTGTTGTTTCATATCGCGAGTGTGATGCCCCAAACCAGACTTCACTATCTTTAATTCAATGCACTGCAACATTTCCTTAGGACTCTGTAGATGTCCATTCTCTCACAATCAGTTCTTACGGAAGCTAATGTCATCAATAAAGGAAGTATTTAAGTGCAAAGGCTTATATACTGACTTGCTGATGACTCTCTGTATCACTCTGTTCTCCTCCTCTCTGAGTTTCAGAAGAACCTGCTCCAGGATGGGAAGCTCCAAGTTCAGATACTGGGCTACCTGAGAGGGGAGGAGAGAGCAACAGAATAAAGGTAATCTTCTATTTCATTTGAATCTCCATCTTATCCTTTGCTGCTGAAATTACTTGGAGAAAAGCACAATCCTTATTTCTAACGCGAGCAAAAAAACGAAAATGCTTTCACTGTTACTTCCAAGTGGATTTACACAGCAACTTTAAGACTTGCAATGGCTCTTAACAACTTCTCCATACTAAATCCAAGACATCATTTTTTCTCTGGCACTCTCTTAAAGATGTGTTAACATCACTAGAGGTAAGATTCAAGTAAAACAGGCCTACATTTTCAATGACTATCTGCCGAGAAGAATTGACATGTATAAGTCTCTTCAAAACAGGCTGTTCATGCCAATACACTTCACATTAATGATTTGGTCTGGTCTCTGTATGTTAGCCTCTCGGGAGGCGGGGCTAGGACACTCACGTCGTTGCTGACTTCCTCTTCGTCCATGTCGATCAAAAAGATCTTCATGATGTCGTCGGAGGGTCCCTGAAGTATGCGCTCCCACAGGGGCTGGTCTCCGTCACTGAGCTTCCTCTTTTCTGGAGAACACAGGGACGGACACGCAACATCAGCAAAGTGATCGTTGTCCTAGAACAGTATTTCATTTAGCATGTGACAAAAAAAAACGTACCTCCGCTCTGGTGAACACAGTACAGAGCGAACTCCTGGGGATCGTTCTCTATCTGTAGGAGGAAAAATACAAGACGAGTGTTTAAACGTCGGTTGAAAAAGTTCTTTTATGATTATATTATTTTTTATCTAATTGATCACATTAATTCACAACCCGTATTTCTGGGTTGTTTTGATGATTTATAATATAATAATGTTTTTATGCCTTCGAGCTGGCGATAGCCATGGCCGGAGGAACTATGTGTTGTCCTTTTGTGTCTCCGTCTGTCCGTTCGGTCCATTCCAGGGACGCCTGGCGGAACTTTTTTTAAAATTTGTTCCAAATGTCCAGTTTGACTCTGGAGCGAACTGATTACATTTTGGAGGTAAAAGTTCAAGTTCACTGGGACATCACATCTGTCCCATTCTTGTGAAGGCAATATCTCAGGAGTGCTTTGAGCTAAATTCTTCAAATTTGGCACAAACGTGCAGTTGGTCTCAAAGATGTACTGAATAGAACTTGGAGGTCAAAGGTCAAGGTCACTGTGACCTTAACTCAAGAATTAAAAATGTTCATCATGACAATATCACACAAATGTCTAACAGGATAAAATGATGAAGTGATGACATTTTGGACTGCAAGATGACTGGTTACACAACCGCAAGGCTTTCCCCCCCCAAATTATTAATGCACACTGTTATTTTTAATTTCATCAACAGTCTAATCAATATAATATATTACAAACAAGGTTGGATGCCACTAATGAGAGTCCATTTGAGTCAGTTTGAACTACGTATAAAATGCTTCATGCTTCATACATACGTTTGGTTAAAATCACTGTGACTTCACGTGCACTTTGAAGAACGTGCACTAAAGCTCACCTTGAACTTGTTCAGCAGCTGTTCGATGACCTGGTTTGTGGTCATCCTGCTGGAGATACGAACTTTAGTCGGAGTGCCGAAGGACGGTGTGAAGATCGACGTCTGTGGGACACAAGGGAGACGGTGAGCTACAGTGCAGATGTGAGCGAGATAAAAAGAGAGACAGATGTGCTGCATGGAAAGAGAGGGGAGGGTTGAGCTTAATGATGTAATAGAAAGATTAGATAAAAACTGAGAAAATGTCATGCTGGGCATAAGCCTATGGAATGCCATTTAAGTCCATTTTAAATAAATAAATACATGAATATAGTTCAATAAATCAATATATAGTAGGTCCCTCCGCCTCACTCCCCGCCGCTAGGAGACAACTACGCTACTTTATTTATTTATTTGAAGTTGACTGAAATGGCATTCTGTAGACACCTACCTTATAGTTGTAGAAGTGTCCGTTGATAGAAAAGCGATGTTGTCTTTCCTTCTCTCTCTGCGCTGCCGACTTCCCCCTCCCCCTCCTCCTCTTGACCAATGAGGCGTCGCTCATGCAGCGAAACAGGTTGGACTCCGCCTCCAGCTCGGAGTTCTTCTGCCGCACGGGACGCAGTGTGGTCGTCTCATAAACGGCCCGGCCTTTCGGAGAGCACACAGACGCGCGGATAAAATGTCTCATATTCAACATTTGTTGTGAATAACACTGTCGTATCACAACAAGAACGGAGTAGGCTACTTCTTCCACCGCTGCTCCGTTGAGATAACATTGTTGAGAATTGCATTATGGGATATGGGAGGGAACATGAAAGCAACCTGGTAAAGGTTTGGTGACCACTGTGTCCTGCGGTGTCTCCGCCATCTCGTCTATCTGGTGAAGGTCATTGTACTCTCCCCACCGGGACATACCCCTACAGAGAGACACAGAGAGTGACTTAAGCATTTTGACATGCATAGAAACATCGATGAAGTTTTACATCCTTTCAATCTTGGCGTGAAACATTTTCACACGACTGCTGATCTGTTTAAAAGCTCATGTTATTGTGTGTTGCACGAAGGACAAATGCATTGCAAAATGTGTCATGTCCTGAACTATAGAGGTTGCTCATGAAGAACAGCTGCAGTAACTTGATTAAGGGCTGTTCAGTTGTTCAAAGTTGGCAAATACAAAAATCCATTGCTTATTTACGACTGCCTCTGTACAAAAGTGCGTTTGTTAGAATTATCTACCTAAGAGCCAAATATTAAATTGTCATGTAAAGATGACTAAAAAGCTAAAGAAAAATCTCGCTTTTCAAACTAAACCAATCCTTCTCATTGTGGAATTTTCGGGCGTGACATTCAGATGATTCCATGCAGCAAAGAGAGATTTCCCTAGCAGAATAACCCACAGAAAGATGAGTATTTCTCTTTTGCTATTGCCGATCGTACCTCTTGTCCCCGATGGGGCTGATTGGACTGGTGGGGTCGGGTGAGGTCAGAGGAGCGAAAGGGGGCATCTGTTTGTCATCCTGTATTTTCAGCCTGATGAGTCTGCGCACTCCCCAGGAGATATTCAGGAAGCCCTCCACCACCACCTCTCCATCGCCGCCCTGTTACAGAGACAGACACCTGCATGGTGTGAAGTTACAGTCATACATTTGATTTTTAAAAGCAGCGATGTAATAGCTAATCAATTTAGAGAAATTATATGTGTGTGGACTTTTTCTCATGGTCAACATCCACAGCTGTGACTCGCCGCAAAGTTCTTATAAACGTCCAGAGGCAATACAAAAGGCTTCCCGGGAGGAATTATGAATTGTGTGTAACAGCATATAATGTTTGAATCATAATTATAACACACCTGAGAGTAGCTGAGGTGCAGTTGAGTGTGGTCCTTCAGGAAGCAGTTGTAGGTGTTCAGCAGGGAGAGAAACTCTGCTCTGAAATGAACACAACACACAGCAGCATCCACTCGACGTGTAAACAACACCGACATCCACTGAACATGGAAATGATATATGTCACAGTTTGACATGTAAATATCGTCACTGTCAAACCTAAATATGACAACGCTGTATCTGTATTTTGCCAGTAAAAATGAATATAGACTAACATTACTCAGAGTAACAGGGACATATTGCTAACATTTATAGGCATGTAATAACAACAGTTAGAGTACAACCGTGTTGTACAATTTCACTGGCTCGTCAATGAATGACAGTTTATAATCTCCTGTGATTTAACACGTCCCATAGCCTCTCAAACACAGAGATGCTCACAAGTCACTGTATGCAAGTCTCAAGTCCCTGTGTGTGTGTGACTGAAGTGCGACTTGAGTCCAACTCCCAACTCGGCACAGTAGACAAATGTTTACAGCAGTCAAATGCTTGTTCGTGTTTACCTTCAGCTTGGTTGTCATTGTGTTTAGCTGCATGTATCTGCGTGTGTACATTGCATAGCAACAAAAAAAACTGAACCATGTTCCTTGTATGTATGTATATATGTTCACATACATGGATTCTACTTCTGACTAAACCATGAGTATAATTTTGTTCTACATATACTTTAGGTACTTTTGAGCAAAACTCAAAGCGTCCCACCTGGTCAGTGTCCTCCCGTCCCCCGCCTGGACCACTGGGAGAAGGGCTGCTTCGTTCATCTCTGGTCACTGTAGAGAGGGAAATAAACAAATGAACAAGTTAACTTTAATCTTTAAACATGAAAATCTGGAGCTCGACAAACACTAGAGGCTGCCCACTTGTTGAACGGTGCTTCCACCTGAGCGGCATTACACATGACATCAGGGAGCAAGGAAACGCACAAGGAATTTAAAGGATAAGAGTCTTACCTCTCTAACATGACAATTCAGAGCTCTGTTCTTACTTCTGCTTCTTTGTCCCTGTCTTTTTCTCTCTGGGCTTTAAATATCTCTCTCTCTCTCTCTCTCTGAAGTTTTTGTGTTATATTTACCACTCTCTCTCTCTCTCTCTCTCTCTCTCTCTCTCTCTCTCTCTCTC